GGGACTTTTGCTCTCTCTTGGCTTTTTTGCTAAAGGCTAGCATTCTTTTTTGTCAGTCATGGGCTTGAACTCTGGGCCTGGGTGCTGTCCCTAAGCTCTTCAGCTCAAGGCTAGTACTCTACTACTTGAGCCACAGCATCACTTCTGGTTTTCTGGTGGTTTATTGGAGATAAGAGTCTCACAGACTTTCCTGCCTGGGCTGGCTTTGAACCTCAATCCTCAGATCTTAGCCTCCTGAGTAGCTAGGATTACAGGTGTGAGCCACCAGCATCTCGCTTCTAAGTACATTTCTTGTTGAACAGTATCACCCTTTCCCTTGCTCTCTCCCAGTTTTCCCCTCCCATCCCGAACTACAAGTTGTATAGTTCATTTCAACCTAGTGTCTAGTGAGTACCACTGCTGCAATTTTTTCATCCTTTGCCTTAAATTTTTTTGTTGGTTGTGGGTCTTGAACTTGGGACCTTGTCTCTGTCCCTAAGATTTTTTTTTTATTCTTTATTGTGATTAAGTGATTACATAATTTTCCAGATTTCACAGTATTGTGGAATAGTGATACTTAAAGTCACAAACACATTCTAACTTTCATGGGGCAAATTGTCTATTGTGGTCTATAACATTTATGAGTTCTATGAGCTTTGGGTGGTATGTGCATTTCTTTTGTTTTGCATAGCATCAGCTGTTCCCTCTTTCCCACTCGTTCCCTCCCTCCCATCGCTGCCATTGAGTTGCTTAGTTCATTTTGATCAATGTCCAGTGTAGCTGATGGATCCTGCTGTTGTATGTTTTTCCCTGATTCCCTCTAGTTCTGTGTTGTCCTCCTTGTTTCCCTCTGGTGTGCACATATATACCATATAGGTGATCAGCAAGGCTAGCATTCTTGAACCACAGCTCTACTTTTTTTTTTTTTTTCCCCCAGAGCTAAGGATGGAACTCAGGGCCTTGTATTTGCCAGGCAGGCGCTCTTCCACTGAACTAAACCCCCAGCCCCCATAGCTCTACTTCTGACTTTTTGTTGGTTAATTGGAGATGAGTCTCAGGAAGCCAGGCACCAGTGGCTCACACCTGTGCTACTCAGGAGGCTGAGATCCAAGGATCATAGTTCAAAGACAGCCCAGGCAAGAAAGTTCTATGAGACTTTTCCCCCACTCCCCCATTGGTTGTGGGGCTTGAACTCTGGGCCTGGGCACTGTCCAGCTCAAGGCAAGCACTCTACTACTTGATCCACAGTGCCACTTACAGTTTTTGGGTGGTTAATTGCAGATAAGTGTCTATGGACTTTCCTGCCCAGACTGGCTTTGAGCTGCAATCCTCAGATCTCAGCCTCCTGAGTAGTAGCTAGGATTACAGTTACAAGCCACTAGCATCCAGCTTTCTTGTCTTTTTTGTTTGTTTTTCTGGTCCTAGGGCTTGAATTTAGGGCCTGGGCACTGTCCCTGAGCTTTGGTGCTCAAGGTTAGTGTTCTCCCACTTGAGCCACAGAGCCACTTCCAGCTTTTTCTAAGTAGTTTATTGGAGATAAGAGTCTCACAGCTGGGCACCGGTGGCTCATGCCTGTATCCTAGCTACTCAGGAGGCTGAGATCTGAGGATCATGGTTCAAAGCCAGCCTGGGCAGGAAAGTCCGTGAGACTCTTATCTCCAATAAACCACTAGAAAACCGGAAGTGGTACTGTGGCTCAAGCGGTAGAGTGCTCGTCTTGAGCTGAAGATGACAGGGACAGCGCCCAAAGCCCAGAGTTCAAGCCCCACGACCACCAACAACAAAAAAAAGTTGGGGGGTGGGAGATGGGAAGGGATGGGAAGGGGAAACAAAGGAGGAGGCAACAATGCTTGATAAGAAATATACTCATAATCTTGTCCATGTAATTGTAACCCCTCTATACGGTATTGTCACAATAAAAAAAAAAAGTCTCACAGACCTTACTGCCCAGGCTGGCTTCGAACCATGATCTTCAAATCTCAGCCTCCTGAGTATCTAGGATTACAGGCGTGAGTCACCAGCACTGACTATCATCATTCTTAATATCAGTGTAGCAAGAGTTAGATAAATTATGCTAAAGTTTGCCTGACAGAAGTAATCTCAGCATTGGAAAAGACTGATGGAAGAGTATTTTTAGAATTTGTGAACAGATTTTTTTGAACAGAAATAGAAATACCCCCAAAGAAAAAAATTCAGAATGAATATAATCCGTAGCAATAAAAAATAGTTTCACCACACAGTGCCAATAGATTGCGCAGGACTGAGAAGCTGGGGTGAGGCCAAAATGGAAGCGGAGACGTCACACCAGGGCTAACGATCTGGAGTAGTCTCTCCCTGACTCATGGTCCTCCCTCTGGTGACACCTGTAGCTAGGTGGTGACCTTGAGTGTCTGATGTGATCTGGTTAGGACACAGTGCAGGAAGCCAGGCTCCTCCCTAGGCCTCCAGCAGAATGATCTTTCTTTCTGGGTGCTGGAGAGCATCAAGTGAAATCAGATCAAGAGACAAGGGCTGGGAAGGTGTCTCAGTGGTAGAGCGCTTGCCTTGCATGCTTGAGGCCCTGGGTTCACTTCCTCAGCACCACATAAGCAGAAAAAAAAAAGCCGGAAGTGGTGCTGTGGCTCAAGTAGTACAGCGCCCAGGCCAAGTTCAAGTCCCATGACCTTCAAAAAAAAAAAAAGTAACATATGCAAAGCCCCAGAGGTGGGAAGGCGTGTGACACAGACTTGAAGGGAGCCGGTGGGGCCAGAAGAAGCTGGAGAGAGGCTGGGTGTGCTGGTGTCAGTGGGAAGCATAGGTATTGCAGCACACATCCATTAGTGACCCCTATAGTTTGTCTTCCTGAAAAAAAAGGTGATTAATTTGTATCACAAATGTGTTGTCTTTGTAATATCCAGTAAAAGAAACCCTGATTCTGGCTGGGAAGGTGCTCAGTGGTAGAGCGCTTGCCTTGCATGCATGAGGCCCTGGGTTCAATTCTTCAGCACCACATAAGCAGAAAAAGCTGGAAGTGGCATTGTGGCTCAAGTGGTAGAGCGCTAGCCTTGAGCTGAAGAGCTGAGGGACAGCGCCCAGGCCCAGAGTTCAGGTACCACAACCAACAACAACAACAAAAGAAAACCTGAGTCTGACCATGTGGAGAATCTCAGCCAGTTCAGTGATTGAGCCAGTTGTAGACTAGGCCTCCTCCTGGGAGATGAACTTTGGCACTTAGAGGGGGGCAGTTTGCATTCTGGTGTCTCCAGAACACCCTCTCAGAAGCATATGCTTTCTCTTTCAGCCCTTCATTTATTGGACATGGCTGTGTGCCAGGGGCCCTGCTAAGTACTGAGCACATAACACCATGTGACACAGGGTAACCTTACTCCCCAGCACCTTAAGAGCCCATCTTTGTCTGATACATTATAATCATTAGCAATGTATTGGCCAAGTGCTTTGATTTCCCAACAGCCAGCCCATGGCAGTCTATAAAAATCATCAAGAGTGGGCTCCAGTGGCTCACACCTGTAATCCTAGCTACTCAGAAGGCTGAGAGCTGAGGATGGTGGTTGGAAGTTAATCCAGGCAGAAAAATCCCCGTGAGCCTCTTATCTCAATTAACCACTCAAAAACTGGAAGTAACACTGTGGCTCAGTGGTAGAGCACTAGCCTTGAGCACAAGAGGCTTAGGGATAGCACGCAGGCCCTGAGTTCAAGCCCCACACCAACACACACATGAAAGAAAAAAGGAATTATTGGCCACTTGTGAGTAGATATGGACTTGCACAGGCTCAGGAATCTGGCATTGAATCCTGGGTATCCTCAACCTCATGAGCCTGTTTCTCTCTACAAAATTACCAGCAACCCTTGAATGAGGATTAGGTGCGATACTCTCCAACTGGATGCTGAGCACTAGGAAGAATGGAGGGACATGGTTGCTGATGTGAAGCCACTGTGGCAGACAGCTGTTCAGAGGGTGGTGGGCCTCCATGCATGTGAAGGCCACAGTGTGATTGCTTTTGTCCCCTGTGAGAAAAGAAGTCTGAGAAACAGCTGGCACAGAGCAAACAAACCGCTTTGTGTTAGTTTTGTTTGACCCTGGCTATTGACCAAATTGCTGAGGATTTAAGACAAGAGAATAGAGGTAAAGGATTTAGCTCCCTACCTGGCAAATACGCGTTTAGTGAACATCAGCCATTTTCCTTGTTCTGTTGTTACACTGGCCAAGAAGCTGTTCAGAGATTGGCATTAGAGAAAGCAGCCTTAATCTCTCTTTGTAGTCGAGAGAAAGGGGAGCCCCGACCCCCACAACCTTCAGATGTCTGTTAGCTCTGAGGGATCAGAGATGGCAGTGGAAGGGTCCCCGCTTCACACAGCCTCAGTTCTAAGCGGGGAGAGGGGACCAAAAAGTCAGGTGTAGAACCCCCTGGGACTGGGCCTGGGTGCCAGCCTCCGAAGCCTCGGCGGGCCGTGGGGGTCCCACGCCCGCCCCAGGCCGGGGCCGCCCGGCCTCGTGGAGGGCGGCGTCCATGCCGGCCGCGGTGCACGCTAGGGACCGCACAGGGACGGTGAGCCGGGGCGCCGCGCGCTAGGCGGTCCCCGGACTGCGCGCAGCGGACTTGCGCGAGCCTGGGGTTGGGCAGGGGGCGGGCCGGGGTCACCCTGCGCCCCCAAAGACCGCTGAGGGCTTTTGTTCTGTTCCTTGTCTGGCCTGGTGTTGGAAGCAGGCTGAGGTGGGCGGGACCGGGGCAGGTCTGGCGTCGGAGTGTGCGGGCTGCAGGGCCCGGGGTACCCAGGGGAAGGGCTGCGTTGGAGGTGCGCCGGGGTTCCGGGGGCTGGGCCTGGGGAGTGGGACGGGGGCGCGGCGCGGGGCGGGGCGTGGCGGGAGTCCGCGGACCAGCCCGGGCGGAGGGGCGGGGCCTGCCGGGGGCGGGGCCTGCCGGGGGCCGGGCCACCCCGGGCGTGGCCGCGGCCCGGCCCCGCCCCCGCGCCGTGATGGACGGGCCGGCGGGCGGGGCGGCGGCTCCTCCCCGCGCGCGGAGCGGCTCCGGCGGTGCCTAGGCTCGGGCGGCGCGGTGACGCTCAGAGCCGCGCGGGGCCGGCGCGGGCGGCGGCGGGATGAACAGCATCAAGAACGTGCCGGCGCGGGTGCTGAGCCGCAGGCCGGGCCACAGCCTGGAGGCCGAGCGCGAGCAGTTCGACAAGACCCAGGCGAGCGCGGGCGGCGGGCGGGCGCGGGGTCGGGGTCGGGGGGCGCCGCGGGGTCCCTGGCGTGAGGCCCAGGGCCCGGGCGGCGGCGGGCGGCGGGCGGCGGGCGGCGGGCCGGGGCTGCCCGGCCTGCGCGCGCCGCGCCCCGCGGCCGGAGCGCCGGCGCAGGTGAACCGGAAGCCGCGCCGCGCCGCCTCAGGACGCCGGGGCTGGGACGGGGCCGCGGGGAGGCGGCGGGGCAGAGCCGGAACCGGGAAGGCCGGGAGCCCGGTGCGCGGGGAGCCGCGGGGACCGGGACCGAGGGGCGCCGGAGGCGGCCGAGAGCGGAGCCGGGGATCCAGGTGCGCCCGGGCCCAGGTGCGCGGGGCCTGCGCCCCGGGCCGGATTCTGGGCCCGGCCCCCGGCCCCCGGCGCTCGTGCCGCCCCCCGGCCGCATCCCGACGCCCGCAGCCCGGGAGCCGTGCGCGTCCCCCACGGAGCCCCCGCGCGCTGTCCGCAGCGTCTCATTATCTGCCGGGAGAAAAGTTTCACGAATGTGGCCAGACTCGTTCGCCCGCGCGGGGCCTCGTCGGAGCCGCGGCCACCCCCGCGCGGAAGCCGGCGCCGGCCGCGTCCGCGCGCCCCCGCCGCCGGGCCGAGCGAGTCTCACCTCCGTCCGGAGCCGGCGGTGCTGTCTGTCGGTCTGCCCGGCTGCGGCCGGTCCCTCCTTCCGCGCTCCGCCCGCCGCCGCCGCTTTCATTTTGAGACGCCACCGGAGCCGGTCCAGCCACGGCGCGGGGCGGGGTGCGGGGCGGGGCGCGGCGGGGCCGCCGGGCGCCCGGCGCCGGCCGGCTCGGGGTTCATCGATCCCGCGCCCGTCGGCCTCCGCGGGCGTTGAAGTCGAAGTGGAGACGAACACGAACGCGCCGCCGTGCGGGAGCCGCAGCCGCGGGGAGAGGCGTGCGGGACGGCAACTTGGTTCACCCCTGATTTTCTTTTCCTGCTTTTCTCTCTGCTGCACGGAGGAGCCGGGACTCCCGAGGGGCTCCCAGCCCGGGGCGCCTCTGACCCACGACCGTGGCCGCGCGTGCGGGGTTTTAGTGCTGCTTATAAACGAGAAACTGGGTTGTGTTGTGTTGGCGGCTCGCTGGGATGCCGGAAGGGACTGACAGGACCACTGAACTCTCCTGAGACTCACCTCCCCAAACCCCGCCTCCTGCGTGTAACCCCAAATGGAGTCTGGGCCCGGTGTCTGGGTTTGCTCGTCTTCTGATGACTTGTTGAAGGATGTAAGAATGAGGTTTCGTAAGTGGTTAATATTTAATTAGATCATTCCCAGAAATACCTAGTAGCAGCCGGGCCCTCGGTAGAAAGGGCCTGGAGAACCCGGGCTGCTCCTTCACTGAGTGCTTTTAGGACAGAAAATAGCACAGCAGATCCCTTTGGAGCGCGCTGCCTGTGCGGCCTGGAGCCCGGGGCTGGCCAGAACTCCGATCCTCGGCAGCCTGGGCCTCAGCCTGGGCCTCGGGACCAGACCCCTCCTGGAGAGGTTGCTGTCTGTCAGGACACACCCTGTTTTGCAGCTGGGGGGCGGGGGGAAGGTGATGGCAGCCGCTGTGGCACGGACTGTGGTGAGTGCCCGAACCCAGACGAGCAGCCCAAGAGCTAGCCTGTTCTTCCCCTGACTTTATCACCTTCTCAAAGCAGAGGAATTGGGCTCAAACTCAGAGCCTGGTTGCTGCCTCTTAATTTTTTTCTCTGAAGCCTAGCACTCTTATTTCTTGAGCCACAGCTCCACTTCTGGCCTTTTTTGCCCAAGCTGGCTTCAAACCATGATCCTCACATCTCAGAGTAACTAGGATTATAGGTGTGAGCTCCCCACACCTGACAAAACAGAGGGACATTTTATTGGCTACTGCTTGTTGGGATATTGTGAGTACAGGCACTAGAATGCACTACACCCAGGGTTGCCTTTCCATCACAAAGATGGCTTGGCTTTATGGGACACCCCTCTGGGCAGCTAGATCTTGTGTTCCTCGGCAAGTTGCTTAACTCCTAATTCTGTTTCCTCTTGGGTAAGAAATAAGGATAAGTCTTAAGATATGAGACATTGTACAGTAGGTTGAGTAATGGCCTTGCAAGAATGTCCACACTCTAATTTGTGGAACCAATGGTACATTACTTGACACAGATGGAATGAAGTGCTCATCAGCTGATCGTGGACTTGGGGATTAGCCTAGGATGGGTGTCAGGTTGGCCAGTGTTATCACAAGATTATTTATTTATTTATTTTTCAGTTGTGGGGCTTGAACTCTGGGCCTGGGCACTGCCCCTCAGCTTTTCAGCTCAAGGCTAGCACTCTACCACTTGAGCCACAGCGCCACTTCCAGCTTTTTCTGCTTATGTGGTGCTGAGGAATCGAACCCAGGGCCTCATGCATGTGAGGCAAGCACTCTACCACTGAGCCACCTTCCCAGCCCCTGTTATTTCTTATATTAAGTACAGAGGGGTTTCTACAAGTCAGATTATGAGTACAATGCATCTTGATCACAAGAAAGATCTTTAAATGGAGAGAAGCAGGAGAGAAGAGAGGGCATAAGATACCACTGGCCATTGGGAGGCTACTCGCTCAGGACTGTGGCGTCCTCCGGAAGCTGGAAAAGGCCTCTAGAACCTGAGGAAAGAAATGACACCCACAAGATCCAATTCTAGGTTTGCACCTCCAGATCTGTAAGAAGATAAGTTCTTTGTTTTGTAGTTTTTTTTAATACTTTAAAAAATTGTTATGATAATTGGGCGCCAGTGGCTCATGCCTGTAATCCTAGCTACTCAGGAGGCTGAGATCTGAGGATCGAGGTTCAAAGCCAGCCCAGGCAGGAAAGTCTGTGAGACTCATCTCCAATAAACCACCAGAAAACCAGAAATGGCGCTGTGGCTCAAGTGGTAGAGCGCTATCCTTGAGCTGAAGAGCTGAGGGACAGCGGCCAGGCCTAGAGTTCAAGCCCCATGACTGACCAAAAAAAAAAAAATTGTCATGATAAAGGTGATGTACAGGGGGGTTAGGGTTAGATAAGTCAGGCATGAAACAAGTCACCCTTTCTCTCACTTCCTCCCAGTGTTTCCCCCAACAGCCCCCCTGCTTTAAGTTTTAAAATAGTTCGTTACAGCAGCTAGGGGCAACTGAGCCATCCTGAATGTGAAATGTGCAGCTCAGTGCCTCGTATGCTGTAGCAGCTCAGCCAGTCATTGGGGAGCCAGTCATGGGGAGCTGTTCCTCCCCGCCCTGAAGTCCAGAATCTGAGACTTGATCCCAGACCTATACCAGAAAGGAAAGCCATCTCTGAAGCATGTGGTGTCAAGGACCCCGTGGGCATGCCTCCCTAGGCCACAGATTGCCACCCGTGATAAGACGGTAGAGGGAGAGGCTTCCTCAGGCAGGGCAAGCCCTGCCGAGCCTGGAGGAGGAGAGGGGCAGGTGTTCAGAGGTCCAGTCCCCAGTAAGCCACGCCTCTCCCAGATAGCCTCCTGAGGGACAGGAATGGTGTAGAGATTAACCACAGAGAAGACGCGGAGCTGCAGGTATAATTTTAGGTCATCTCCTGGCCTCTAGAAAAAGTGAACGGAGTAGGTGAACTTTCTTTTATGTTATAACCCTTTCAGCACTTAAGCCATGAAAAGGTTATGAATGGGATATTTTATATCCTCCTTGTCTGCAAAGTTTTATGAAAGGACTGTCAATTGTATGTGGCTGTAGTGCCTTCTGGAAGATGCCATGATGCTCGGGGGCTTTTAAACATCACTGTGGATCATGTGCTGCAGCACCAGCGCCCCAGCACTAGTCTAGTTTGCAGCTTTTCCCAGTAGGATGTCTCTTAGACAACTGCAGAACCACAGGACGTGGTGTCTGGGATTCACTCCGAGTTTCTGCTTTTGAAAGGCCAAACCTTTGTGCTGCTCTCTTTGCTCACATTGGTCCCTCTGCCCAATCTGCCCAACTCCACTGTTGGGGTGGGCAGACTTCAGCATGGTCAGACAAGGCACAAGGGCAGGCTGGGGGTGGGAGGGCTCGGCGTAGAGCACTTGCTGATGGGTGACAGCCCCCACGTTGATGCCTAGCACCACAAGTAGGAAAAGCAGCCTCCAGCCGGGCACTGTGGCTCACACTGTAGTCCTTGTTGTTCAGGAGGCTGAGATAGGAGGATTGCATTTCAAAGCCAGTTTGGGCAGAAATGGCCTCTATACTCCATCTGCAGTTAAAACTAACAAATGGCCAGACAAAGGTATGGCTCAAGTGGTAAAGCACCAGTCTGGAGCCCGATGAAAGAGGTCCTGAGTCAAAGTTCTAGTAGTAGCATATGTGTGCACGCACGCACGCGTGCAAATACACACACACACAGGTCCAGAGCTTGGGAAGAACTCTGACCCATATGGCAGGTAGCTGGAACCCCCAACTTCCTCTTGTAGGATTGCTGTTGTGGGGCCCGTGACGGCCGTAAGAGCTTGTCTCTGTTGGCCTGGCCTGCAGTTCTGGAGCGGCTGTGCCCCTCCTCCACCCGTCAGCCATGGCAGGTGCAGCAAGACAAAGGTCCAAGGGGGGCGGGGTAACGGGACACAGCCTGGGGCGTCCTGCAGAATTGCGCCCCCCCCCCCCCCCGCAATGGGGAGGAGAGTGCCGAGGAAGGCTCCCCTGACCTGGCCCTGAGTTGGACACTGGTGAATGAAACCCAGCAGGCCACTCGATGCCAGCGGCCAGTCCCAGAGCTCCGAGTGGAAACTCCAGTCCACGGCCTGCTTGGCGGGGGACAGGGAAACCCAGCCGGCTAACCCGAGCTGCCCGGCCAGCCGGTGTGGAGCCACCGTTGCCAGCTGTGCGGTGCGGTGCGGTGCCGTGCCGTGCCGGTGGGCCTGGCTCACCTTGTTTGTGAGGCTGGCTGTCCTCCTCCGCCCAGGCCTGCCGCCGGTCCCCACGGCACCGCGCTGTCCTGCCTCCCCGGCGCCCGGCAGCGCCTGCCGTCCTCCGCTTGTCCACCTGCACCTGAGACCCTTGTGGGGGGGGAGCGCGGGCATGTGCCCTTTTCCAGGACTGGGAAGCCCCCATCTCCACGCGGGGGTGAGCGCGCGGGTGGAGAAGACAGTCCAGGCCTGACTGTTTTTGCTCTGGCTAAAATAAACATAAGTCTCAACTACAGTAGGCTTGTCTGCCTGGGAGTGACGCGGTCTCCCGCCCTGTGGGCCTGGCAGGTCTGGGAGGACACTGCCTGGCTGGCTCCCTCTCCCTTCTGAGCCAGCCAGTGACTCAGGGCCCCGTCTTCCTGTCCCGTGTCCCACCCTCCCGGCTTGGTCGCGGCTGGGCTGTGGATCTGTCAGCATCCCTGGGACAGGCTCTCCCGGGCAGCAGTGGCGTCTCCTCAGCCGTGGAGCGGACGGGGGGGGACCGGGATGGAGAGAAGCGGCCCACGGGCCAGGGCCCCTCGCTGCCCGATTTCCTGTGTGCTGTCAGGATCCGGCTGTGGCCTCTCCCCTGCTTTGCATGCGGCCCCAGCCTAGCTGCTCGCTACAGAAATCCTGTGTTTGCCCTCATCAATGGCCTTTGAGGTGGTAGGAGTGTTTGAATGAGAGGGCTCTGTCTTCAAGTAAGTCTTTGGAAATACAGGGCAAAATAACCCTCCCTCTGCCAAGCCCCCATGTCCTGACTCCTTGAAGAACCATTCTGCTCCTGCCAAGGGCCGCTGCGCGGCCTCGTGATGACAGAACAAGGAGGCTTAAGTTGATTCACGTCAGGATGACTTTAAAAATAGAAGTTATTTTATAGTCACTTAACCGTTCAATTCTAGTGGTTAAATTATTAGCTGGAGGAGACACCTCCTTGAAGTTACCCACTGCCTGTGTTTGGAAGAGCTTTTGTGCATTCAAGTGTTCCTTCTTGAGTTTGTCTAATAAAGATTGATTGACATGCTAGGCATTGGTTTGGGCCATGAAGAGGAAGATGAACAGTCTTCCTTGGGTCTAATCTCTGCAGGGATTAGTTCCAGACTCAAGGAAGACACCAAGATCCACACAGGCTTAAGTCCCCATAGAAAACGGTGTGGTACTTGCATGGAATCTCTGCGCATCCTCGAGCTACCTCTTTTTGTCATGTTCTTACACTCGTGGGTACAGAGGACCATAGAGACCCTCTGTTCAAGGCAGTGGCGGTGGGGACAGCAGAGCTGAAACTAAACCGGAGCCTGCGACCCTAACTACTCAGGAGGCTGACATCTAAGGCTTGGAGTTCATAGCCAGCCCAGGCAGACAGATCCTCAAAGCTTTTCCTCCAGTTTACCAGCAAAATGTGGAAAGTGGAGACAGCTCAGGTGGTAGAGAGCCCTGAGCTCAAGCTGCAGCACTGGCGCCAAAATAAAGGGTGGGGAGGGGTGAAGAAAGAGATTAAACCCGGTGCCTCCCGCGCGACTCCTTCCGTGCAGCGGGGTCTCTGTGGGCTTTGGGATTTCTGCGGGGTGGGGATGGAACCAGGGCCTAGTGCACCACGCTGTGCCCCAGCCCCAGCCCGGGCGCAGAGACCCCTGGGCTTTCTCATCCTGTGTCACAGTGCTCCCGGGGTGGACGACAGAAGCCATCCTGAGGGGATCCAGGCAGGGAGCCCCAAGGAGTGGGGTGGTGTTCCTGGCTCTGCCCGCCTCCTGCCCCACCCCACGTTACTGGTGGTTCACCGGTTCCCAAACCGGAGTCCGCTCCCTCCTTCGCGGTGTTGGGGTTTGTGGGCGTCCTTGGCTGGCCCCTGGGGAGGCGAGGCCTGTGCGCTGTCACACAAAGCCCCGGGCGTCTTGGCAGCACAGCTGTCCACACAATGGAAACGGGGTCCACATTCGCGCCATCCTATCCGGTGCCTGGCAGGGCGGCCTGGTGGAGTGGCGCAGCGCGTGTTACGGTCCTGGCAGTGGCGGTGGCGCGGGGTGTCTGGGCGGGCTTGCCCTTCCTCCTCACCTTCTGCGGCTTGCCCTGGGGGGAGGGGGAGGGGTTGTGCTGGGGCCGAGTGAGGACCCCGTGCCCCCTCTGCGACCCCCTTTCTCAGGACCGCAGCCGCCTCAGTACCCCACCTTTGCACTTGCTCCGCAGGGCTGTCCCCTGGCCCTGCCTTCCTTTTTTTGGCCAGCAGTCCTGGGTCTTGAACCCAGGGCCTGAGCACTGTCCCTGAGCTTCTTTGGCTCAAGGCTAGCACTCTACCACATGAGCCACAGCGCCACTTCTGGCTTTTTCTGTGTATGTGGTGCTGAGTAATCAAACCTGAGGCTTCATGCATGCCAGGCAAACACTCTGCCACTCAGCACCTTCCCAGCCCCCTTCCTGCCTTTGTGCGGAAGTTGGGGTGCTGCACTATAAGCACCACACCCTGCCCTGAGGAACCCCTAGGGCGTCCCACTGCCCTGGCCATCAGAGCCCTTGGGTCTATCTGTCTGTCTGTCTGGGAGGCCCTGTCTCCTGAGGAGTCAGGAGTTGGGGTGCTGGTAAGCAGGGTGGGGGCCTGGACTGCTGCCTCCATCCAATGGCCCTCCTTCCCCAGCTGAGCCTGCCGTTCCTACTTCCAGGTGGTGGTCTGTATTTCCCTGGGGGTTGCCAGCCACAAGGGTCCCAGGGCCGTGTGGAGCTGCCGGGCTCTCTCTGCCCACAGGGCTGTGGCCGGGTGAAGGGAGGCCGGTCACCAGCCTGGGGACCCCAAGCCCGGGCTGCTGCTCAGATCAGACTCCAGGACTTCACCCAAAGCAGTCAAGGCACCACCCGAGATGCCCCGTGTCCCTCACTTGGGTGACCTGGCTGCTCCTCTGAGGGGGGGCAGGGAAGGAGCGCTGACGCCCCTCCCAGCTCCACAGACCCCCACTGTGCGAGCACTGGGCCTCCTTGTGCGGTGCCCAGCGGCCCCACACATCCGCCTTCCCTCACACAACAGGCCTGTGTTCCCGGGGCCAGCCGGTGCCTACAGCCAGGGCTGGCGACACGGCGTGCCTGTGGCCAGCATGGTGGGATGGGCCGCAGGGCCACCGCAGACAGACGCTGGCTGCGCCTGCGCCGGTCTCCGAGCGAGCGCCCGGCACGCAGAGGGTGAGGGCAGCGGACCGCTGTGCGCACGGCACTGACCCCGCACATGGAGAGCCACACGCCAGATCTGAACAGAGCAGAGGGGAGCGGTGGCACCCGGAGTGCTAGGGAAGCAGCGGGGTGTGCTCGGCACCCATGGGGGTGGGGGGGGGGGTGGGGGGAGGGACAGGGCTGCGGCGGCCCCTCCCCCCGGGGCCTGTGTGCGCAGCTGCGGCCAGGCCCCGCCCTTCCCGGAGCCTTCCTGACCAGGTGGCAGCTGTCCCTGCGGCCGGCTCAGGTGGCAGGGCGACTAGGGTTACACACTCCAGAGACGGACCCCCAGCTTTCGAGCGGCAGCTGCTCGCCCTGCCCTGGGCCCTTAGCTAGGGGACAGTGGTCACGAAGGACATGGGGTGTGGAGACACAGACCTGGCTGTGCTCTTACTAGGACAGACAGACAAAACGGCCAGTTCACCAGGAAGATGGCATTGTTACCACCCCTGTAACTGTAGCCTCCGGAGGCGTGCGGCTGAGCTGGCACCCCCAGTGCCACTACCGCAAGCGACTGTCCCTCGTGGGGACAGAGTCTCCCCACGAGCCATTAGTGTCTCACGGCTGCCACATGGCTGTGCGTCCGTGCCGGGGCAGAGGCCGAGGGGCACCGGCGGGGCACACAGGAGCAGGTGGCGCAGCAGCCTCTGAGGGGCTGGGGCTTGGTGCCTACGGGAACCAGTGCCTCTGCTTCCCCTGGACCGTGGAACAGCAGGAGTCGCCCCACCCCTTCCCAGTGAGCTGCCTCAGCGGGCCTGTGTGAGAGGGTCCACTCCGCCTGGCTGGGGCCGCGCAGAACTGTCCCTGCCCAGCTCCGGCAGCCTAGACCCGTGTGTCTGACCTGAAGGCCACTCGGCCCTGCCCGGCGTCTCCTCCCCACCGAGGCCCTGCCCGGCGGCGCCTGCCATCATCTCAGCTCTGCTGCCCAGTGCTGGACGGGGAGGGCACGGGGCCGTGGGAGGATGGAGAAAGAATGTGCCACTACCACTCATGCCCGGCTGCTCTGCCTGGCCTGGCCTGTGGTGCAGGTTCCCGGGTGACCCGCCTGGCGTGGCTCCCCAGCCCTGCCTGGCTGCGGTGCGCTGTGCCAGCCTGTCCCGTCCTCCTGCCCACGGCCTGAGCAGCTGGCCAAGTGGCCCGGCGACAGCCATGTGCTGGCCGGGGTGGGGCGGGGCCTGGGAACCTGGGCAGCTTTGGTCAAGTGTGTGGCCGCCTCCTGTCGGGTACCGAGCAGACTGCAAGGGGGCAGCTGATCAGGACACACCCAACAGAGCAGGCTGGCCTTGTGGCAGGCAGGACAAGAGGCTGCTGGCTGGGGGGTGGGCTGGCGGTGTCCTCTGTGCCCCACCACCCCGTGGAGGCGAGAGTAACCCTGCTCTGTGTCCCACAGGCCATCAGCATCAGCAAGGCCATCAACAGCCAGGAGGTCCCTGTGAAGGAGAAGCATGCCCGCCGTATCCTTGTGATCCTGAGGAGATGCAGGGGGGGGGGGGGGAGGGAGGGCAGGGGGCGGGAGCAGCATTGGGGCACGATGCTCACAGCCCTCCCCTGTGCCTAGCCATACCCCCAGTCCCGAGGGGAGGAGGCACCCAAGCCAGAGCCCGTGTCCTGCACTGGGGTTTAGCTGCTGTCTCCAGCACCTGACCTCGCCGCACTCCATCTGCTCTGCCCTTGGCCTTAACGCTGGAAGGCATCATCCTGGGCACGCACCATGAGAGGGGGGCCTTCACCTTCTGGTCGTATGCCATCGGCCTGCCACTGCCCAGCAGCTCCATCCTCAGCTGGAAGTTCTGCCACGTCCTGCACAAGGTCCTCCGAGACGGGCACCCCAATGTGAGTATGCTGCCCCCCAGCAGACAGGCCCCTCCCTGGGCCATATTGCTGCGGTTGGCGCCTGTGGGCGGTGGAAGAGTGCCCATGCTGCTCTGTCCTTGTCAGTCCCGAGCTGTGGACCCGGGCTGGGGACAGTGCTCAGGAACCCCCCCCCCCCACCCGCCCGCAGGTGCTGCATGACTGCCAGCGGTATCGGAGCAACATCCGGGAGATTGGTGACCTGTGGGTAGGTCCAGGGGGGCCCCCGCCTGGCGATCAGGGCCTGTGTGAGCAGACCTTTCCTTTGAGTCTGGGGCTCTGCACTGGGGAGGGCCTTGGGCCTCCTGTGAGGGCGGCCGGTGTGCGCAGCCAGGGTGCGCCCTGAGCAGGCCAGAGTGGGGCAGGGCCCTGCCTGGAGCCGCGCATCTCATCGTGGTCCCTGGGGGAGGGACACCGGCCGCAGGCGCAGTGTGGCTGGCATGGCCGCTGGCCGCGGTGCCCAGGCCCTCGGCACACACTCAGGCAGCCCTCCCACAGGGACACCTGCATGACCGGTACGGCCAGCTGGTGAACGTCTACACCAAGCTGCTGTTGATCAAAATCTCCTTCCACCTCAAGGTAGCTCCCTTGGAGATGGTCCCGCCCACTCGTGGGGAGACTCCAGACACCTTGTGGTTTCTGAGGTGGGGGGTGGGCCCCCAGCCCCCGTTGAGTAGAGGCTGTGTCTGTCCGTCTATCCTCCTGGGCCCTTTCCACCGCCCCACGCCCCCAGCCAGCCCTCTGCTACCTGGCCGGGGAGCTGGGCTGCATGGGGCCTCCCTAGCCTCTCCCTCCGGACAGCGCTAGGTCAGGTGGGCTAGGCGTAGGGGCGGGACCTAGCATGTGGTGGTCAGCTCCGCTGCAGCACGGCTTTGTCCGCAGCACCCGCAGTTTCCTGCTGGCCTGGAGGTGACCGATGACACGCTGGAGAAGGCAGCCGGGACTGACGTGAACAACATGTGCGTGTGTGCCCCGCCCCCTCCCGCACCCCGTGCCCGCCCCCTCCCTCACCCCGTGCCCCGCCCCCTCCCGCACCCCGTGCCCGCCCCCTCCTCACCCCGTGCCCGCCCCCTCCCTCACCCCGTGCCCTGCCCCCTCCCGCACCCCGTGCCCGCCCCCTCCCTCACCCCGTGCCCCGCCCCCTCCCGCACCCTGTGCCCGCCCCCTCCCTCACCCCGTGCCCCCCCCACCCCGTGCCCCGCCCCCTCCTCACCCCCGTGCCCCGCCCCCTCCCACACTCCCTTGCGTGCCCCCCTCAGCTTCCAGCTCTCTGTGGAGATGTTTGACTACATGGACTGTGAGCTGAAGCTCTCGGAATCAGGTGAGGCCCCCCCCCCCCCCCCGCGCGCCCCCCCCTGCCCCCCGGCCCCCCCTGCCCCCCCGACCCTGGAGACCTGGTGTCACTCTTGTTTTTGGCACTGGGGATGGAAAACCCAGGGCCCTGCACGCCAGGCAGAAGCTCTACACTGACGCCGCTCCATCCCCAGTATTTATTTTTTGTCCATTATGAGGCTTGAACTGTGGCCTGGGCGCTGTCCCTCAGCTTTTCAGCTCAAGGCCAGCACTCTACCACTTGAGCCACAGCGCCACTTCTGGTTTTCTGGTGGTTTATTGGAGATAAGAGTCTCAGACTTTCCTGCCAGGGCTGGCTTTGAACCATGATCCTCAGATCTCAGCCTCCTGAGTAGCTAGGATTTCAGGTGTGAGCCACCAGCGCCCGGCTCTCCATCCCCAGTATTCTTAATGCACCTGCCTCGGGTGCCCACCCCTCCCAGGAGGAGGGGAGGGGAGCCCCATGGTGCCTCCGTGCAGGGCCGAGGCCTGCCTGCCTCTGGACCCGTGTGTCCACCAGAGCCCTGAAGGTGTCGCTTCATTGTCCCCGTGAGTGTGAACTGCAGGCTGTGGGGGAGCCCCCTCAGGAGAGTGAGTGTGGGTGCCCTAAAAAGCCTGAGTCGCGCCAGACTTCCTAGCCAGGAACTGGCTCCCACCCGACAGGAAGTCACCCTGCCGGTGTGACTCGGTGCTCCCAGTGTACACAGGTGCTGCCTGTGTCAGGGCGGGCAGGGCGCCCGGGACTGGATTCTGAGGCTCCCTGCGCCCAGCCACGCAGAGGGCTCTGGAAGTGAGAGGCCATGTCCAGGTCGTCTGCCCACTGGGACAAGCGTGACCAAGAGCGGCCAGCAGGCGCGCTGAGCCCACACCCCTGGCAGCACAGCGGCCACCATAGCTGCCCACCTTCCCGCTCCAGGCTGCCCTGGGCACTGGAGGCCATGTGGGTGCACGGGGGGGCCCACAGCCCTGAGCCCCGGTGATGCTGGTGTCTGCAGCACGGCAGCCGTGGCAGGTGCAGCCTCCAGAAGCTCCGGCCGCAGAGGCAAAAAGGCCCTGACCTCTGACAACTGGCTGCGTGGCCCCGGCTGCTTTGTGGGAGTGGAGGGGGGAGAGCTGCGTCTAAGTGCGCCATGATCAGGAAAGGCCTAGAGAACATGGCGCTGTGGACAGGCGCACCGTGAACGGCGCTGTGGACAGGCGCACCTCGAACGGCGGCTTGAAGCCCACACCGTGCCCTTGGCAGGCTTGCGTCCGCACCCCTCCCCCACTGTCCCAAACCCCACACCCCAGGCCAGGTCAGCCGCCCTCCAAGAGGTGCCCCATGGGCGCGTGGCCACTCTGGCGGCTCTGCATCGTCCTCTATGCTCCTGATGAGGGCCGGCTGGGGAGGAGGCAGGCCGCGTCCACCCTGGCAGATCTGATCCAGGCCTGATTGTCAGGGCCCCTGGGCGAGGGAGGGTCACACTGTCACCACTGCCCCTCGGTACTTCCTTGCTGGCTCTCCACGTGGAGGCTCGGGGCACCTTCGCTGAGCTGAGCTCCCTGTGACCTGGCCCCAGGAGGCTGCGCTGCCCACGCTCCGTGTGAGGGCGGACTCGCTGGCGGGGCGGGCATGGTGGTGAATGGCGCTCGTCCTTGGAGGCGCTGCCTCTCACGCTGCTCCTCTCGTTCTGTTGTGCAGTGTTCCGGCAGCTCAACACGGCCATCGCCGTGTCCCAGATGTCGTCCGGCCAGTGCCGCCTGGCCCCGCTCATCCAGGTCATCCAGGACTGCAGCCACCTCTACCACTACACTGTCAAGCTCCTGTTCAAGCTGCACGCGTGTGAGTCTCCGCCCTGTGGCCACGCAGGAAAGGGAAACCCACACGGCCCCTTGAGGAGGAAGAGGGCCAGTGGTGTGGCTCGGGGGTTGGGGGTTGGGGGTTGGGGGGGTAGAGCGCAGGTAGCTGCAATAGGCCCCGGGTTCAATCCCTGGTTCTTGGGGAGGAGGAGACCCGCCAACACCTCATTACCTATTTTTATTTTATTTTATTGGGTCCGGTCATGGGGCCTGAACTCTGGGCCTGGGCGCTGTCCCTCAGCTCTTCAGCTCAAGGCGAGCGCTCTACCACTTGAGCCACAGCGCCACTTCCGGCTTTTTTCTTTTTGCTTATGTGGTGCTGAGGAATCGAACCCAGGGCCTCATGCATGCAAGGCAAGCGCTCTACCATGGCGCCACCTTCCCAGCCCCTCACTACCTATTTTTAAAAACTCACTTTGCCAAAGCAGAAAAAAGATGGAGTAGGGTCGTCTTACAATTTTGGGTGCTCTGCGCTCGCAGGGAGGCGGGCAGGCGGGCAGGCGGGGAGCACGGGCCGCAGAGCAGTGGGGAAGTGTGACCATGCCGTCCCCAGGTCTCCCGGCAGACACCCTGCAAGGCCACCGGGACCGTTTCCACGAGCAGTTCCACAGGTACCGGTGGGGCGCGGCCGGGGCGCGGCCGCAGGGGCCCTGTGCCCGGGCCCTCTGTGACGGCCCCTCTCCCCGCAGTCTCCGGAACTTCTTCCGCCGAGCCTCGGACATGCTCTACTTCAAGCGGCTCATCCAGATTCCCCGGCTGCCCGAGGTGTGTGCCGACCCTGCTCTGTCTGTGGGGGGACCCCGCGGGTTGCACACAGGCTGTGGCATGGAGGGCGGGGGGCCTCGCAGCTGGCGGAGCAGCTCCCACCTGCCACCCCTGCAGGGCCCCCCCAACTTCCTGCGGGCCTCAGCCCTGGCTGAGCACATCAAGCCAGTGGTGGTGATCCCCGAAGAGGCCCCGGAGGATGAAGAGCCAGAAAACCTCATTGAGATCAGCAGTGGGCCCCCGGCCGGGGAGCCCCCGGTGAGCTCCTCACCCCAGGCGCAGGGGGAGGCTGCGGCGCTGGGCGGCTGGGCAGTGCTCACGGCGGCCTTGCTGCGCAGGTGGCCGCTGACCTCTTCGATCAGACCTTCGGACCCCCCAACGGCTCCGTGAGGGACGACAGGTGAGTGCGGGAGCTGTGGGGACGGGTGCGCGGAGCTGGCCCGAGGGTGACGCTTCCGTCTACAAAGACGGGGAGGGGGGTCCCCTGCACGCTGTGGCTTGAACCTCGCCTTTCCGTCCCCAGGGAGGTGCAGATGGAGAAGCTGAAGAAGGAGGTGGAGGCGCTCCGCACTGAGCTGGAGAAGATGAAGCTGGAGGTGAGGGGATGGGGCGGAGGCGGGAGCCCCGCGCAGGCCGGCCAGGACCCCCACTCCCTCCTCCCGCCCTCAGGCCCAGCGCTACATCTCGCAGCTGAAGGGCCAGGTGAACGCCCTGGAGGCCGAGCTGGAGGAGCAGCGGAAACAGAAGCAGAAGGCCCTGGTGGACAACGAGCAGCTCCGCCACGAGCTGGCCCAGCTGAGGGCCGCGCAGCTGGACGGCGCCAGGAACCAGGGCCTGCGCGAGGAGGCCGAGCGTGCGTGCGGCGCCGAGCGCGGGCGGTGAGGAGGGGCTGCGCCCCTGCCCGGGCTCACGCCTCACGCCTCCCCTCGCGCTGCAGGGAAGGCCAGCGCCACGGAGGCACGCTACAGCAAGCTGAAGGAGAAGCACAGCGAGCTCATCAACACGCATGCGGAGCTGCTGAGGAAGGTGGGTGTCCCCAGGACTGCAGGGGGGGGGGGGCCACAGGCCGAGGCCTCGGACCTGAGCCCGTGCCCCACCGCGCAGAACGCCGACACCGCCAAGCAGCTGACGGTGACACAGCAGAGCCAGGAGGAGGTGGCGCGGGTGAAGGAGCAGCTGGCCTTCCAGATGGAGCAGGTGAAGCGCGAGTCCGAGATGAAGGTGAGGCCCTGCCCTGCGCCCGCCGCCCCGTGACACGCTGCCCGCCTTGACCCCCGTCCTGCCCTGCCCCGTTCCAGCTGGAGGAGCAGAGCGACCAGCTGGAGAAGCTCAAGCGGGAGCTGGAGGCCAAGGCTGGAGAGCTGGCGCATGCACAGGAAGCCCTGAGCCGCACGGAGCAGGTGCTGCCAGGAGCAGGCCGGGTGGCAAGAGCCGGGCGCCGCCTCGTGACCTGGGTGTGGCTTGGTGCGTGTGCAGGGCGGGGCGGTGCTCACTCCTGCGTGTTCACAGAGCGGGTCCCAGCTGAGCTCGCAGCTGGATGCGCTGAACGCCCAGAAGGATGCGTTGAGCGGGGCCGTGCGGCAGCGCGAGGCCGAGCTGCTGGCGGTGCAGGGCCTGGTGCGTGAGCGGGAGGAGGCGCTGAGCCGGGAGCAGCAGCACCGTGAGCAGGAGAGGAGCGAGCTGCAGGGGCAGCTGGCAGAGAAGGTACATCCCCCCCCCTCCGCCCCGCACGGTGTGATGAATGCCAGGGAGGGCAGGTGGCCTCCTGCAGCCTCCAGCCTGTGGTGGGGCGTGGGGCGTGGGGCAGTGGTTCCCGGCTGATGGCCCCCTGCTGGCAGGAGTTGCAGGAGGAGGCGCTGCGGCAGCGGCTTGTGGAGCAGCAGTTCGCGGTGCTGCGGGGCGCCGCTGCAGAGGCCGAGGCCATCCTGCAGGACGCTGTGAGCAAGCTGGACGACCCCCTGCACCTCCGCTGCACCAGCTCCCCGGGTACGCACGCGCACCTCCCCTGGGGCTGCAGACTCCCCTCCCGTGCACACAGCCCCGGTCCCACCCTCACACGCCCACCCCCGTGCTTGCAGACTACCTGGTGAGCAGGGCCCAGGCGGCCCTGGATGCTGTTGGTGCTTTGGAGAAGGGCCAGGCCCAGTACCTGACCTCCACCACAGGTCAGTGCGCCCGGGGTCCCCCCGCCCCACATCCTCATTCACAAACCAGGCGCCGCGCTTCATGGTGTGTTTGTGCACACAGATGCCTCTGCCCTGGTGGCAGCCGTGACTCGCTTCTCCCATCTGGCTGCGGACACCATCGTCCATGGCGGCGCCACCTCTCACCTGGCCCCCACCGACCCTGCTGACCGTACGCGGGCCTGGGGTCCTCGCCATGGCGGGAGCGGGGGCCTGCCCTCGGGTCCCTGCTGTCTGGTCCAGCTGGGTTCTTGTCTCTTCTCCCGCCACAGGCCTGGTGGACACGTGCAGGGAGTGCGGGGCCCGGGCCCTGGCGCTCCTCAGGCAGCTGCAGGACCGGGCAGCTCTGGCGGGGGCGCAGCCCGGCCTGCTGCGGGGTCCCCTGCAGGGCATCCTTCAGTTGGGTCAGGTGAGGCGGGGCGGGTGGGGTGCTCGCGGCCGTGTTCCTCCTGAGTGGAGCGGACAGCGGCATCACGCACGGCAGTCCACCTGCCTGCCACTTGTTCTCCCAGGACCTAAAGCCCAAGAGCCTGGACGTGCGGCAAGAAGAGCTGGGCGCCATGGTGGACAAGGAGATGGCGGCCACCTCCGCAGCCATCGAAGACGCTGTGCGGAGGATCGAGGTGGGGGCTGCCTCCAGGCCGGGGGTGGGCAGCGTTTTCTCGGGAGGAGTCTGGGGTCAGGTTTGAGAGGATGGGAGGGGCCCGGGGCTCTGGGCTCCTGGCCACTTCCTCCGTGGCCTCCATGTGGCTCACGCTGCCACTGGGTGTAGGACATGATGGACCAGGCCCGCCACGAGAGCTCAGGAGTGAAGCTGGAGGTGAACGAGAGGTGAGTCCCTCCCGCCCTCTGCCCGCTGCCCGCCCCGCCCCTCCCCGTGGGCCCCGCTGCGGCTGTGCTTTGTGTGGTGGGGCACAGCAGTCAGCCAGTGTCCTCTCTGCCTCCCAGGATCCTCAACTCCTGCACAGACCTGATGAAGGTGAGCCTGGGCGGGAGCAGGGCCAGGGAGGGGCGGGCTAGCTGGGGCGGGGCTCTGCACCGTGCCCCCTCCCCACGCTCCCTCCCTCTTGACTTTCTGCAGGCAATTCGGCTCCTGGTCATGACATCCACCAGCCTGCAGAAAGAGATCGTGGAGAGCGGCAGGGTGAGCAGGGCAGGGTGCAGTGCCCCTGGGCTGGGGAAAAGTCCTGGAAGGATCCCTAAAATGTGATGTCCCCCACACGTGCCCTAGTCCCGCTTCCCACCAAGGCCGTGTTCTGACCTCAGTGGCTGGCGGGCAGCCTAGGCCCCCTCCCACCACGGCGTGTCCTGACTGCTCGGCCTCTCACCACCACTAGGGGGCGGCCACGCAGCAGGAATTTTACGCCAAGAACTCCCGGTGGACTGAAGGCCTCATCTCCGCCTCCAAGGCCGTGGGCTGGGGAGCCACACAGCTGGTGTAAGTTGCGTGGGAGGGTGGCCGGGGCCCTGCTTCGTACAGGGCCTGGGCAGGCCCGAGGCCCTCACTGGCTGCCCCCGCCCCTCAGGGAGTCGGCTGACAAGGTGGTGCTGCACACGGGCAAGTACGAGGAGCTCATCGTCTGCTCCCACGAGATCGCAGCCAGCACAGCCCAGCTGGTGGCAGCCTCCAAGGTGAAGCCTCGCTGACCTCCACCATCCCCAGGCTCCACGCTGGCCCGGCCTTGGGGCTCTTTCCTTCTGGCTGTGGTCACCAACCATGGCCTGCCCTGACCCCACCCCCAGGTAAAAGCGGACAAGCACAGCGCCCACCTGAGCCGCCTGCAGGAGTGCTCCCGCACAGTCAACGAAAGGGCCGCCGGCGTGGTGGCCTCTACCAGATCAGGCCAGGAGCAGATCGAGGACAGAGGTGCGCACCTGCGGCGTGGCGCTGCCCCGGGCAGGCAGGGGTAGGGGGCAGAGGGGCACCTGCGGCCTGGCGCTGCCCCGGGCTGGTGGGAAAGGGGAGCTGATACCCTTTTCTTGGCCATAGACACTATGGACTTCTCCGGCCTGTCCCTCATCAAGCTGAAGAAGCAGGAGATGGAGACCCAGGTAGGTGCCATGCTAAGGGGCGGGGCCGGGGGCAGGGCTGGCAGGTGCCATGCTGAGGGGCGGGGCCGGGGGCAGGGCTGGCAGGTGCCATGCTGAGGGGCGGGGCCGGGGGCAGGGCTGGCAGGTGCCATGCTGAGGGGCGGGGCCGGGGGCAGGGCTGGCAGGTGCCATGCTGAGGGGCGGGGCCGGGGGCAGGGCTGGCAGGGCTGAGCAGGTCGTGGACTGCAGGTGCGAGTGCTGGAGCTGGAGAAGACGCTGGAAGCGGAGCGCATGCGCCTTGGGGAGCTGCGGAAGCAGCACTATGTGCTGGCCGGAGGCGTGGAGGCAGCTGGCGAGGAGGTGCCCAGCCGGCCCAGTGCTGCCCCCCGGAAGAAGCCACCTCTGGCCCAGAAGCCCAGCATGGCCCCCAGACAGGACCACCAGGTGCCGGGGCTGCGCGGGAGGGGGTGAGGGGAAGGGTGGGTGTCCCAAGGCCGCACTTCTGGCCCATCCACTGAGCCCCTAAACTTTGACCCCCGTAGCTCGACAAAAAGGATGGTGTGTGCCCAGTTCAGCTGGTGAACTAGGCTTGGCATCCAGCAGGGCGGCTGGTGGCGGAGTCTGGTGCTCCTGGCCTCGGTGAGCCCTCCAAGGGCCCTGGCTCTGCCCGTGCACGGCCTCACGCCTGAAGCAGCGTGCGCATGTGCGCAGGAGCTCGTCTGGATGTGACTGCGTTTGTGTGCAATAGGAACTGCGGAGAGCAGCTGGCGCTGGCCCGCAGGCCTGGGCTGCGCCCTCGAGTGAGCTCAAGAATGTTCCTTAGTGTTGGCGAGTTCACAGTCGGCGCGCTGGAAAGCCTCGGGTCTCCTGGACGGAAGTCAGAGCGGTGCACAGCAGCTCCCTGCTGACACTGCACGGCCGCCGCAGCCCTGAGCGCGGCTTCCATAGGCACCTTTGGCCTTAGGGGAGGGGGGGGAGGGGAAGGGGGTAGGGCTGTCACCCCTTGTGGGCCTGGTGCTAGGCAGCCCAGGGGCGTGGCCCTGGCTCAGGCACAGCTTTGTGCCGTATTTCCAGCCACCACTCTGGCCTCCCACGCTCCTGGCCTGGCTGCCACCCCTCAGCTGGACTCCAGCCCCTCTGCGGTAGCCCGGCCCCGCAGCTTGCCGGAAGAAGCCAGGAGCTGGGGTGTGCGGGGGGGGGGGGGGGGGGGCACACGGGCATTCTGTGTTGAAGTCCATTGGCAATAAACGCACTGACTGTTGTCCCCAGGGCCCGGTGGGGCCGCAGCGGCTCGTGCTCTCTGAATGCTCCACCTCCTGGCACCCGGCCTCTGGCATCTTTGCATAGGGGACGGGTAACCATGGAGGCCATGGAGCGCCAGCTGGGGGGCCACGTCTCCCTGTCCTCAGTTCTGCCACTTCTGGGATGGGCACAGGGTGCCACACAGCCTGTGTGCGTGGGTGCTTGGCTGTCATCTTGGAGCCCAGCCTTGCTTGCCAGGAAGCTGCTCACCAGTGCTCGGCCATGCCCCTGCCCCTTTTCACTTCACTTTTTCAGGTAGTCTTATATATTATATAGTTGTGCATCGGGGATAAGAGGCAGCCCCAGCCCTGCCTAGCTCAGCAAGATTCGGGTTTTGGTTTTGGTTGTGGGGCTTGACCCACAACCTGGGCCTTGTCCCTGAGCTCCTCAGCTCGAGGCTAGCACTCTACCCTCTGAGAGCCACAGCACCATTCACCATTTGTTCTGGTTAACAGAAGAGACAGACTTTCCTGACTGGGCTGGCTTTGAACTGTGATCCCCAAATCTCAGCCTCCAGAATAGGCATGAGCCCCCAGCGCCTGGCCAGAACGCTGTTTGAAGCACGTGACTCAAATACAAAGCCAGGGCAACTGAAGGAACTAGGCAGCCCTCCCCAGGGAGTCGGTGTCCAAACCGTGGCCACTGCACTCATCTCCGGAGCCAGACGCCTTGAGCCTCGTCCACGATCCCACCCCACTCGCTGAGATGGGCCCCCCCTCTGTGGCCCTTCTCAGGAGCCAAATAAGGGAAGCGACCCAGCAAGGCCCGGGTTCAGAGGCAGACATGGAGCCCGTGCTTGAGAGGACTAAGCGGCTACGCGGGGGCCAGAGCAGCTCAGCAGGCACGCGTGCAGCCCCGGGGGGCAGGCTAGAACCAACACTGGGTACACTCCAACTAATAAAGTGACAGCACTACCAATTCTCCATTTATTCAAAAGGGCTGACAGCTTGGCGGCCAGCGGCAGACGCGGCCTGCGCGGCAGTCTCATCCACACCGCGCTGGCTTTGGCCGTGGCGTGCGGCCGGCAGTGGACGGAGCAGAGGTGGCACTGCCCCCCTGAGATGCAGAACGTAGCACACCCATTTGATTGCATGGCAGTGGAGTGTCACAAACGGCTTGGTTTCCTCACACCGTCAGAGTTCACGTCCAGGCGCAGGGTGTGCGCAGGAGCAGGGGACAAAGGCCGACGGCCCTGCCCATGGCCTCTGGGACAAGCCCAGGATCAGCTGTGTTCCTGGGTGGCAGCCAGCTGGTGGCCCATCACACACCTGGCCCTGTCGGGCTGGCAGGTGATGGGCGAGGGCGGGGCCTAGCTGGACGGGTATAGCATCCCCCCCCCCCCACCCCAGGCCGGGCCCTCCAATTGTGCACCCGGCTCCGGGCAGGGAGGGGAGCTGTGGTCCCGTGGAGTGGGGGCCCTCCTCCAAACCCTCGACACCCACCCGGAGCCCCGGCCGCCCGTGCACCAGAGGCAGAGCGTGTCCTGGTGGGAGGGGGCAGAGGAGGACTTCCGCTTCCAGGAGCGTGGGCCCGCCCCGCTCGGCCTGTGGGCCGTGGAGCCAGCACCTGGCGGGCACCGGTGAATCTAAGGCACAGCACAGGCGCCTGCGGGGCACCGGGCATGCTTGCATTCCAGTCTGCTCGAAACAGTCGGTCGCGTGCTTTAAAAAGTTTCCCTGAATGGCCGTAAGCAAAAGGAGTCTCTTCCCACAGAAAACAGCTGCGCTAAGCGAACGCACAGCACAGTGGGGTCTTCACAAAGGCAGGACGGCGCTGGGCGTCCAGCTCGCGCTGCCTCCTCCCGCGGGCTCCACGAGAGCCCAGGGCGGCCGGGAGGGAGGTGTCCGCGGGGCTCTGCCCGCACGCACACAGCACTGCTGAGCACCAGGCCAGGCCCCTGGCACACACAGGCCTCTGACACACACAGGCCAGGCCGCTGCGCACCAGGCCAGGCCGCTGGCACACACAGGCCGCATGCACATGGCTCCGCTGCGCACCAGGCCAGGCCGCTGGCGCACACAGGCCGCTGGCACACACAGGCCGCTGGCACACACCAGCCCCAGCCAGGGCTGCAGCGGCGCTTTTAACATGAAAAGAGAATTAACCATGCTCATGAGACAAGCTGTGGCCAGAGACGCGGCCCGGGGTGGAGCGGACGACCTCTCCCCAACCGCGAGTTCGCAGACCGTGTGGGACTTGGACCCCGGCCACGCAGCTCCCTCGGCGCACGCTGGGCCTCTACCTCTACCTCTACTCACCCGGACCTACAGCCTGAGGGGCGCGGGCGGCGAGCCGGGCTCACTGGAGGATGAAGCCGGGCTGGGGCGGCGGCAGGCGGGGCGGCGGCCTCTGCGGGAGTGCCGGCGGGTAGGGCGACCCAAGCTGGGCAGGGAAGCCCTGCGGGGCGGGGAGCCCCACGCGGGGCGGCAGAGGCGGGCCAGGGAGCCCCGGGTAGGGCGCGGCGGGGAGCGGCGCGGCCAGGCGTCCCGCGGGCGCGGGCGGTGGCGGGGGCAGGCGGCGGGGCGCGGCGCCCGCGGGCGCACCGTCCTGGAGGCCGGCGTAGGGCAGCGGGGCGGCCGGGGCGGGCTCGGGCACGCGGGGCAGGGGCGCCGGGGCCTGCGGGAGCCTCGGCGCCCGCATCACCAGCTCCTGCAGCTTCTCCACTTTCACCCGCCGCACGTGCGCCAGCTTGCGCTGGCTCTGGTAGACGTCAATGAAGGCGTCGAGGGGGAGCTCTCCATCCAGAAACTTCTCAGCCATGTTCTGCAAGAGGCCAAGAGCGCCGGGGACGGGTGAGGCCCGAGACCCCCCTCAGTCCTGGGCGCCGCGGGGCAGCGCTGCCTCTGACCGCACCTGGCCGGCCGCGGGTGCCGAGCGGGCGCCGCCAGGCTGGGCCTCGACCACAGGCGGCAGCGTGACATGGAGCTGGATGTGCTGCGCCCCCTTCTCTCCCCCCTCAAGCCCCTCAAGCCCTCCTCCTGCGGCTATGAGTCCCCAAGTCCCAAGCACTTGTCAGCAGCTGCAGCCAGGCTGGGCGACACGCAGCCCGCCGGCCCGGACGGGCCCGCACTGTGCGCTCGGCCAGCCGCGTCCGCCAGCTCGTGGACTCACGCAGATGGCCACGCGCCAGGGCCGCACGCTGCCCCCTCGGCTCGGCCGGGCATCCGGGGCACACGCAGGCTGTGTGCCCAAGAGGTGTGTGCCCTTCAGGACATGGAGACGGAGCGCCTGGTCCCGAGGGACAGGGACCATGGTGGACCCCAGACGCGTGCCTGGGGCACTGCACACGGCCCGTGGGCCTTACCTCAGTGTCTTCCTCGATCTTGGCCCCTTCCGCTTGAAGAAGTGCAAGAAGAGTCTCCAAGGAAGCACTACTAGACTGTTTATCTGCAAGAGGCAAGATGTCCTGTGAGGAAGCCTCACCAGAACCTTCCATCCCCATCAAAGTCATGTGTGTGTGCACACACGTGCGTGCACATGTACACCTTAATCTCAGGGCCTGGCTGTCCTTGGGCTTTTCAGATCAAGGCCTGCACTCTACTACTTGAGCCACAGCTCCACTTCTGGCTTTTTGCTACTAGTCAACTGGAGATAAGAATTTCATACTTTCCTGCCTGGACTGCCTTTGAACTGTGATCCTCAGATCTCAGCCGCCTGAGTAGCCAAGATTACAGGCGTGAGCCATAGTGCTCAGCATGTACTCACTTATATTAATATATATTTTTTATTGTCAAGATCCTGTACAGCGGGGTTACAGTTACGCGAGCAAGGTAATGAGTCCGCTTCCTGTTGAGCATCGCTGCCCCTCCTTTGTCCCCTGCGTCCCACGGACTTATTTGTGAGTGATAAACTGACATCAACTATGCGCATCTGAAGTGTAAGACTCAAATTCTTAAACATGAAAAGCTCAACCCCCGCCACTGCCATCACCCCGTGCAGATTCAGTCAGAGGCCATGTGCAAATGGCTCCATGGTGCCCACTGCCGGCACCGAGGCCAAGGTGGACTCTGCCAGCGGGCAGGTCCTGCTGGCTCTGAGGCCTCCGCGCGCAGTCCCTCACACTCATTCACCTCCCCTCAGCTGCGGGGGAATGAAGGGACCGGCGCCGCCCAGACGCCTGGTGTGGGCGGTGCTGATGGCTGACCCCACCCCACTGCTCCTATCCAAACCTCCTTCAGAGCTCTCTCTCATAAAGCCTAGAATCCCGAGTGTGCCGTCAAAACCAGATGCTCTGTGGTGAGCTGGTCTCCACGTTGACTACAAAGGCCGAACACAGGGAAGACGTTTGTCGAACGTCGTAAAACTGCCTTTTCGCTGTGCTGTTTGGAAAAGGTGGAGCCTCGAACTTATCAAATGACTAAGTCTTTCCTAAACTGGCAACACAATTTTATCTAAGCACGATTATTCCACTACACTGGGGTCACTGTCTCATCACCCGAAATGTACCTTCCCTCCACTCTTTATTTTCACCCTTAGAATGTTACCCAGTTTGGGGCGCCGGTGGCTCGCGCCTGTCATCCTAGCTACTCAGGAGGCTGAGATCTGAGGATCACGGTGCAAAGCCAGTCCAGGCAGGAAATTCCATGAGACTCTTACCTCCAGTAAGCCACTAGAAAACCAGAAGTGGCGCTGTGGCTCAAGTAGTAGAGCGTTCGCCTTGAGCTGAAGAGCTGAGGGACAGCGCCCAGGCCCTGAGTTTCAGCCCCACGATACACACACACAAAAAGTTACCCGGTTTGGGGCTGGGAAGGTGGCTCAGTGGCAAGGTGCTTGCCTTGCATGCATGAGGCCCTGGGGTTCGATTCCTCAGCACCACATACGCAGAAAAAGCCTGAAGTGGCGCTGTGGCTCAAGTGGTAGAGCGCTCGCCTTGAGCTGAAGAGCTCAGGGACAGCAACTACGCTGCGTTTTGTCGGCCCCACGACCAACAAGAAAAAAGGAAGAAAGAAAAAAAAAGAGAGAAAGTTACCCAGTTTGGTCTTCTTTATCTGGTAAGCTTCGAAGAGAGCCTGGAGTTCCTGGTACTTTTGGGTCAGGCACGCTTTGCGAGTGTCCAGCTGGGGCTGATACAGCAGGTTCTCCTCCGCCAGGCTGCGGTTGCTGGCCAGCGTCATTTCTTTGTTGAGCTGCACAGTCTGTGTCTGTAAGACACCACAGGATGGTGAGACCCGGAGCCACACCCACCCGTGACCACGCCTGCGTGTGGCCTGTTCCACTTGGCTGGGCTCCAAGCGAGCCCCACAGGCCTGCTGAGACCCCAGCCCCTTGGATTTCTCTTTCGGACGCTGTTTCCTATTCATGAGCAGCGGGACCGGGCTTCGTTTCCAACACGTTTCCAGGACGAGCTGTGTCCCGGGCCGCCGCGGCGCCTTGGCTCAGTGCCGGGCGGAGACTTGAATTCTTCACCATGGCCACTGTGCTTGTGAAAGTGTAAAGACACAGGGCAGATCGGCGCCCGCTGCTTCAGCCGAGACGGGGACACCCGGCGTGCTGCCGCGGGCTTCATAATCCGGCTCAGCTCAAACAAGCCGGCCTCTGAGACGGCCCGGAGGAGAGGACGTTCGCAGGGACCGCTTCGGCTTCTCTCGCAGCCACCGCCAGCTCTGCCCGCCCCGGCCGGCCCTCCCGCGAGCACCGCCGTCCCGAGGGGGCCGGGGGGGGGGGGGCCGGCTCCGGCTTGGAGGCAGGCTACTGTGCCACCGTGCGCACCAGGGCGGGAGGGAGGCACGGAGGGCTGCGGGAGAGGTGAGGGACAAAACTCAGCTGAAAAATCAGAACACACAAACCTACCCCGTTCCCGCGGCCCAGACTCGCCAGCCCGTGCGGGCCCCTGTCCCCGGTCCTCGTCTCCTCCCGCCTCCATCCTCGGCTCTCTCCTCTCCCCTCTGCCCCCCCATTCCCTGTGTAGTCCCCCACACACATGTGTGTGCACACGTGCACCGTACATCACAGAGACCCAGGGAAAAACCAGAACAAAGGAAAACCCCTGGGACCACGGCTCCAGTCAGGAGACTGTGAACCACCCCGCTGTGCGCTGCGTCTAGGGGAGAGGCGAGGCCCAGCCCCACGGTGCGGTGCGGTGCGGGTGGGCAGCTGAGTCACGAGAACCCTGCTCAGCTCTGTGGAGACGCTGGGCGACCCAGGCTAGTGCAGTGCTGGCGCTGGAAGGAAGAGTCGGACTGGCTTCCTGGAGGTGGAGGCCCGGCTCCATCCCTGCCCGGCCCTGCCCTCGCCCGGCTGCGGCTGCCCAGGGCTCCTCCTCGCTCTTCCTCCCCCAGGCTTTCGGCGAGGCCCTGCCTAAGTCTTTCCTGCAATTGTGAAGCCACTTCAAAGAATAAACAAAAACAAACCACTGTACAGTGGAAACCAGTTTGGAACATTCTTATAAAATGAAACGTGTTAACTACTCTGAGACCTGAAAACTGTCCCTGGCCATTTATCCCAAAGAAATTAATTTTTTTTTTTGGTCGGTCATGGGACTTGAACTCTGGGCCTCGGCGCTGTCCCTCAGCTCTTCAGCTCAAGGTGAACGCTCTATCACTTGAGCCATAGTGCCACTTCCGGCTTTTTCTGCTTATGTGGGGTTGAGGAATCAAACCCAGAGCCTCATGCATGCCAGACAAGCGTGCTCTACCACTGAGCCACCTTCCCAGCCCAAATTAATCTTTTTTGTTGCTGGTGGTGGTGGTTGTTGTGGGGCTTGAACTCTGGGTCTGGACGCTGTCCCTCAGCTCTTCAGATCAAGACAAGCGCTCTACCACTTGAGCCACAGCACCACTTCCAGTTTTCTGGTGGTTCACTGGAGATAAGAGTCTCATGGACTTGTCCTGTCTGGGCTGGCTTTGAACTGTGATCCTCAGATCTCAGCCTCCAGAGTAGCTAGGATTACAGGCGTGAGCCACCAGCGCCCGGCAGAAATTAATCATTACACAAAAACCTGTACATGAGCCAGGCACTAGTAGTTCACATCTGAAATCCTAGCTACACAGTAGGCTGAGATCTGAGGATCACGGTTCAAATCCAGCTCAGTCAGGGAAGTCTGAGACTCTTGCCTCAAATGAGCCACAAAAAAAGCCAGAAGTGGAGTTGTGGCTCAAGTGGTAGAGCATTAAGCCTTGTGCAAAAAGTTCAACGACAGGGCCCATGCCCTGAGTTCAAGCCCCAGGACTGGCAAAACACACACACACACACACACACACACACACACACACACACACACACACACAGGGTAGTGATTCTGTGGGCACACACAGTGTTAGTATAAATGGCACGATGCTCTCTGATCTGTAAGGCCTACTCTTACTCACGCTTCCCATTCTCAGCGTGGCTTGTCCGCTCTTCCCTCCACTACTCGCTCACCGCCGCTGTCACGCACTGCTTCAGCAGTGACAATTCCATCTTTCTGATCACTGCCCTCCCTAGCAGGACGCACACTGCCCAACCTGTGGAACCCCAAGGCTGAATCTGATTTTAAAAAGGTCCAGGATGTACAGAGCTTACCTCGCATGCGTAAGCCCTGGACTCAACACAGCAAAGAAGCTAAAAGTGAGGTGAGCGACAAAAGGCGAGCTGTTTGTCCCGGAGTGAGTGAGTGCCGCCGCTCGGGACGCCGGCCGCGCGGGCGTGAGATCACACACTAGGATGCCGCCGCGAGCTCCAAAATGCAGTTTCCCCAAAAAAGGGGAGCAAAGAGGCCTCCCAAGGCAACCCCTGGAAGGGCAGCAAGCGCGCACTGGGATTCTCGACTCTAAGCAAGGCTCCGGGGCAGCTGTTTAAAATCCAGCGCCCACAGCTGCAGGTGTGGCTTAAGGGGAGAGCCTGGCCCAGCATGTGTGTGGCCCCGGCTCTATCCCCAGTGCCTCCTCCCTGTGAGCTCACTCTCTTGGGAAGGGCCCAAGTAAGGACAATTCCTCAAAGCCCCTGCCTGGAAGCCACGGCCTGCGCTTGGGTAGGTGGGGTGCAGTGGGCCAATGAGTCACGAGGCCTCCAGAAAACCCTGTGACCAAACGCCACGCCCGCAGCTCACCTGGGCCCTGCGCACTGCGGTTCCTCTCTGACGGCTAGGAACTACACCCCGAAGGGCAGCGCTGGCAGCCCCTCGGCGCACAGCCGCCAGGCATGCGAACGGTCTCTCTTGCCACAAATTCACTAAGAGCCTGGCATGTCTGCCTCCTTTGTGTTTGTCACTGTTCCGAGCTGTTCCCTCCAGCCAGCTCTGGTTCCAGGAAAGCCAGGACTGATGGAAACCATCTTTACGACAAAGCAGTGCCTTGCTGGACAGGCCACCCCAGCTGGGGACGATTACTCGTAATGGTCAGGCCTTTCTGACCGTTAGTCGCCTCTCTCAGCCATATTTCTTTCCTAATAAACTCCAGTTGCCAGGTGCTGGTGGCTCACACCTGTCATCCTAGCTACTCAGATCTGAGGATCGCGGTTCAAAGCCAGCCTGGGCAGGAAAGTCCATGAGACCTTAGGCCTAATGAACCACAGAAAATCAGAAGTGGCGCCGTGGCTCTACATGGTGGAGCACTAGACTTGAGTGGGAGGGGAAAGAAAAAAGCTCAGGGACAGCGCCCAGTCCCTGAGTTCAAGTCCAGTGATGGACCCAAAAAAAGAAACTTCTTATTTTTACTTTTACATGTGACTACGTTGCATGAATGCCCCTCTTGCTAGACTCAAAGACCTAGGCTGATCTGCTGTACTGACTTTCGGGGAAGTTCCACTACCAGCTATATCACAGAAAAAAAATCTTGTAAGTCACGTCCAAATGACTCACCCGTCAGCAGGCGGCAGCGCGGGAAGCTGGGGAAAACCGAAAATTAACCCACTTGCAAAGCCGGCAGCACAGGGGACCAGACGGAACTCCAAGCAGGGACAATAATGCCTGTCAAACTGACCGATGTTTTCACATCCTTCAGGCATTCAGCTGTTTCTGGGTCAATGGACACAGTACCGGCAAATGCTAAGTGGCCACCAGCAGACGGCACGGCCGTGGGAGCAGCGTCAGGGGCCAGGCCCACGTGGGCCGGTGCGGCTCTGAGCTCCACGCACTCGGCCCCAGGGCCCTGCCCCCTGCATCACGTGCAGAAAAATGACTCTGGCCTCAGTGTCTCCTCAACGTAGCATGGCTCGTGTGCAAAGGGAGGGCCCGTGCCGGGATCCCTTGAAACCCACAGAGGCAGTCCGGACGGCCACACACCCTCAGACACGGCCGCCCGTCTCCGTGCTCATGGAAACATGGAGACTCAGCTCAGAGGAAGCCGCCGTGCCGTCATCGTGACAGATGCCTCCAGAGAACTGAAATTCAGGCCGCAGGACCACCGCTGTCCCTCCTCCTGAGCCCTTCTCAACCATAAAGAAATCTTTTCAGGAAACAATTTCCTCTGTGGTAAACAAATATTGTTATAAATGTACTCAGTCTTGTTTCAGGTTCCTTCTCCTTCCTAAAGAAAAGCGAGACTGGCTAGCAGCGTTTATTTTTGGCTCTATTTGCATTATTATTTCTGCCCATCTGTGTGCATTAACACAAAGAGCTCTCTGGAAGGCAATCCCCCGAGGCTAACCCACCAACCCCTTGATGGGATTTTATTTTTATTTTCTTGCCCAAAGCTAGTGCTGTACCACTTGAACCACAGCTTCATTTTCAGCTTCTTTTTTTGTGTGTGAGCCTGACCTGTGACTTGAACTCATGAGTCTGGCCACTGTCCCTGAGCTTCTTTTTGCTTAAAGTTAGTGCTCTACCACTTGAACTACAGCTCCACTTTTGGCTTTTTGTTGCTAACTGAAGATCAGAGTCACACAGGCTTTCTTGCTCGGGCTGGCTTTGAACCACAACTCTTGGGTCTCAGCCTCCTGAGTAGCTAGGATTATAGGCATGAGCCACTGGCGCCTGGCTTGCTTGAGGATTTTTGTAGAAAATAAGCTCCCTGAGGAAAGGAAATAGCTGGGAGCCCCTCTGCACATCCTGTGGCGCGGAGGGGAGACGGCCGCGCCTCACGGGCAGCGCGAGGAGAAGGGGGGCGCCGCGGGCAGGGCCAGGGCCACTCCCAGTGCCAGCACACCCCTTCATCCGCCACAGGAGCCGCCCTGCCGAGCACCCAGGCACTCCCAAACCACATCTTCATGGGAAACACTCTCGCGG